GTCCCGGATAAAGGATTAAGTCAATGCAACGTAAGGTCTGTGGTTTTTGTGGAGAGTCCACGTAGGACATGTAGTATGCGTCAGTCCATCCTGTCTGACGTCCTGTCCGCCATGGCCTGTCTCATGGAACGGACAGACTCAACAGCCGTCCTGTCTCACAGATCAGTGGATCGTCGGTCTATGAACCCTAGACCCTAAACCCTGGACCGACTTGCACTTCTGACAGAGGGAGATAAAGCTGAGGGAGATAAAGCGCCATTCCCTTCATCCCCTCTGCGTTTGCGTGTTTTTTCGCCATTTATCTGGGATCTCCCATTTGCACTGCGGGATTTGGGCCTCTCGGGTCTGTCACCACCCACCTTATCTACTGTGCAGTGGTACGCTTGTCAGTGATCTACGGTGCAGATTCCTTGCTGGTGTCTTTCACCACTCTCCCATGCAGCGAGACTACTCTGCAATTGCTATGAACTCTGCGGCGGCTGGCTACCTGAACCTGTCCGTCTCTCAAAAGCTCTATCTACGCGCGAACGAATGGTGCAGTGATGACTCTACAGGACTCTACCTATCCCTCCTTTCCCTCCGGTGGCTGCCTAGCTCGGTCTTCTGTCCCTGTCTTCGTGCTTTGGTGATTGGGACTGGCCGAGGGACTTCTGTCAGAGGAGACTGGCACGGTGGGCCGTCGGACTTCGAGAGAAGCCAACACGCTGCTGCACATCCAGGTCCTTGATGGCTGCCTTGAGCTTCTTCTTCAACGCCGACACCTCAACCAACAGTATCTACACACAGAGACACAGAGAGGGATACAATACAGGAGGCGTCAGGATATGCTTACCGCACACGCCTCTCTCCAGGTGTTGTATGGGTGGGTGACGTTATCGAGCTTCTCAAGCAGCTCCTTGTTCACTTGCTGAACAGTGAACACAAGGTAAATGCATCCATGACAGAAAGGCTTGCAAGGACGGTGTCTCTGCCGCCTCACTGACGTACGTCTCTGGTAGTTGTATTGTTGATTTCTTCCTCTAGGCTCTCGAGCTCCTTCTCCTGGTCTTTTGGCTCTTCGCCAGGTCGGAACCAGCACAGACAGTGGGTGTCCTCCTCCGAGAAGTCCTTGGTTACTTCTTCACGCGCCTGCTTGTACTCGTCCGAGTGCTTCATCAAGCTCTCCGCGCAGAAATCTGTGAAGGCCACATATGGTGGGTGTGCGTGTGTGGTCATTCGATGAATGTCAGTGCATCCGGCCATCTGACCCGTGAAAGCCGTGGCGGCGCCCAGCAGGGCCAGCGAGGTTGTCAACACAATCAGCATGTGGGAGAAGTTGAACGTCGCCAAGTTGCCCTGCTGGTGCACCTGAGACATAGGCGTTTGTCCCTGCCTGCTGTGTGTCTGCCGTGCTAACGCATTCATACGTCGATGAATATGCCATGTCGATTGTAGAGGACGCGGTGTGTGTCCGACATTTTCTCGGTCTCTACTGTCTTGTAAGACGGAGCCTTCTGGGCTTGACGATAGCACAAACCACCAACAAAGATGAGAAGCAAGCGAGACAAGGAAGGAGTGCTTGCTGCTGACGAGCGAGTCACATACCTGGACGGAGTACACGTATTCGATCGGGGCGTGGAACAAAGTCATGAAGGGCCGGAGGTTGGTGTATTTGATGGTTATTGACAGTACAAGGCCTTCCGCACGTCGTGATTCGCCCTGACAGAATGTGGATGTGCGAATGGGTGCCATACACAAGGACACTCTCACTTGCTGGTTGACATTCGAATCGAGGTCTACACCTGACGAGACAGGACATGCCAGTCATTGTGTTGTAAAAGCGTCTTGTCTGCTGGCCTTTACCCGCGAAGGAGAGGAGCCGGCCGAGCGAGATGATGTCTCCGGGCAGAATTCTGGAAGTACACAAGACAAGGTAAAGGTATGACGGAAGTACACTGGATGATGATGATGTCACTGGATGATCGATGACGGATTCTCGGTGAACCTGAAGACGCACGCGATGCTCCTCTTTTGTCTCTCTTCTCCTCCGCCCGCCCGTAGCATGTGGCTTACTTTCGGAGCTCCTCGGAGTCGTGCCATGGGATTGGCGACGTGTCATGGAGATCCACTTCATCGAGCTCATCTAGGTCCTGCCAAAAGTCGCCCACATTCGCAAGCTCATTGCTCACTTTCCCATCCTTGTCTCTCTCTCTCTCTCTCTCTCTCACCGTCAGGTAGTCCCCCCAGTATCGCTCGGGCTCCTTCATGTCTATGTCTGCCATCGCCCTCTCCTCTTTGAGGCCCAGGAAGTGTCTCCACCCACCGTCCTTATCGGGGGGCTGCAGTGGGTGCCGAGGGGTGTCCTTCTTGTCGCAATGCTTCCCGTGGCAGGGTATTTTGAGTCGGCGGCACTCACCGCCGCCAGTGCACGCCTCCCAATAGCCCTGGTACTCAACCATTGATCCTTTCATCGAGTCCTTCTGTGTCGCCTCGAATGAATGGTCAATGAGTAAGGTGAACCTAAGGGCAGGGGATTGGAGAATGTTGATGTGTCGTTGTCTGTGGTTGTGTGTGGACATACCTGTCTATGTCGGCGACGTAGACGCGTTCCGTGGTGTTTGCATGAATGTGTTGGTGCAGACCTCGCCAAATGGATCGCAGTCACGCTGCTGCTCGTGCTTCGACACCTGGAGGGCAGGTCATTCACGCATACCAGCAGACCAGCTCTCCCCTTTGTGCTGTCATACCCGTGTGGTTGCAAAAAAGGAGTTTGTGCCGGCAGATGCAAGCGGCGATAGAGTGTACTCATCGCGATACTCACATGTCTCCTGCAACCAGAGGCCATCACCGAGTTCCAAAGCAAACTGTGGGGTTTCCTGCCGGGCACAAGTACTTACCTTTCTGACGTGCGGTCTGTCTTTGCCCTTGTATTGCTTGCAGTAGGGCAGTTCTGACAGCTTCGTATAGTTTGACATGCAGGTCGGCTTATGAGGGTTGCAGTGGTGCGCCGTGGGGTGCTGCAGCTGCATCCGGACGACGCCCCTGACGTCGCCCACCTAGATATGAATGCGACATGGCAGAGGGAGGGGGAGACATGAAATGTCCTTCGTGTGTGTTCTCACTTCCATGTGTTGGTTGTTGCAGAGCATCTGAAGCAACAAGAGGGACAGCGCGAAAGGCCCATCCACCCATCAAGGCGATAAATGCAGACGGAGACACACACGTTTGTCTGCTCTCTTACTTGCCACACGACAATGTAGAGGAAGATGCACGTCATGAAGAACATCTTAATGTACCCGAGACGACCTGGATTGGTGGGTGAGAGTGTGGTTTGTGTTCTGTTCTGTTGTGTTGTGTTGTGTTGTGTTGATGGCGTGCGCCCACGTACGGTCGCGGATTTTGACGGTCTTGCTTGTTCCATAGCTGAAGACATCATCAAGGTCCTGGCCAGCGTATGCAGGGATGCACCAATCGGGGCAGCTCTTGCCGTACAGAGGCCCCTGCTCGCAACACGTCACGTCCTCGGGGCTTCGGGTGACGACTCGGGGAGTAGCATGCGATTCAGAATTCTCATCTTCCACTTGGATGTACATGGTGTGTCTTTGAGATTGTCTCAAGCGGCAGAGAGCACACGTCGGCTAGACACACGGTAACACCAGGGCTGCGATGCAGGGAGAGGCAACTGTCCACCAGGAGGGCAGAAAGAGAATGCTGTGTTGCTGTGCGGAGTCTCAAATTGCAGTGGGCCCCCATCGCATGCGCGTGTGTTGTTCTTGACCCAGTGGACTCCCCGTGCCATTGCTATTTCCCCCCTCTACTCTCATCATCATCCAAGTAGCTCTGCACTAGCAAGTGCACTAGTTCCTCCCTGCATTCACCTTCCTCACCTCACTCACAATGGCCGCCACCAAAGCACAGCAGAGCAACATGGCGATGCTGGTGGCCCTGCTGTTGGTGGGCGGCCTTTCAGCTTTCGTGGCCAACTCGCCCAAGATATACTCCAACATGAAGAAGGCCTGGAAGGCCTCCGCGGACTGGACGGCGGCCGAGAGCGGCAATGTCTGGGCCATCGGCGGTATCGGGCTCTTCCTCATCCCTGCAGGCATGGTCTACGACGCTCTTGGGACCTTTGGCATTCTGCTGTACGGCGCCATCATCAACACGGCCGGCCTCGCCCTGAAGGCCCTCTTCCTCGTGAGCTACCCCAACGCCTACCTCCACGGCATCTTCGAGATCCTGGGCATTCACGGAGGATGCGCACTCAACTTTGGTTGGGAGACACGCGGGAATGCTCTGCATGGTGTGGAATTTGTCCATTGCAGGTGCCATCTGGACGAACGGCAAGGCCTGGCCGCCGAAAAGCTCGGGGCTCGTGTCCGGCGTCCTGCTGGCCATCTACTCCGCAGGTACGTACGAACACCCACAGACATTGCATGTATGGCCAGGCAGTGCGAGAAGCAACCACGGCTGAGCCGTTCATTCTGAGTGGCTGCACCTGCCGCTGCTTCCTGCGCTGTTGTGATGTGTTGTTTTAGGCGCGATGTTCATGACATTCCTGTGGTCGCATTTCTTTTCGGCAAAGGCGGAGGACCTGACGCACAAGATATCTGACTTGAAGAAGGCCGACCCCAAGAGCCCTGAGCTGGACAAGATGCGAAGTGAACTCGGAGGCATCATCCAAGGATACGTCTGGACATGGACCATCATCAGCGGTGAGCCAGTGGGGGAGACAGCGAGGGAGGAAATGTGCTCACACAATGCCAAGGAGGGGCAAGATGGTTGCGTGTGGTGTCTCTTGATATGTCAGCCGTCGCTGCTGTTGTGGTCACCATCGTGCTGCCGATCCTCTACAACATGTACATCGCCCAGAAGAAGGTCAGTCAGCATTACCGGCTGGTGTGTCGCTGCCCTCTTGATGTCGCTCACCTCATCCATTCGTTGATTCGTTGTGATTGGCTGGGTGGTCCTGCGTGCCTTCAGGCCCAAGAGGACGCCCGCAAGAGCGTGACTATCGCCCAGCAGCGCAAGTCGATCCTGACGACGCCCCCTGAGCCCACCTGGAAGGTCTTCACCAAGATCGAGGCCTACATGCTCATGTGCGTCTACCTCTTCGGAACCGCACAAGGCATGCAATGCACCCATGCCACCAGCCGTCCTAGCCACTGACACACGGAGCAACAAACCAAGAGCGCACTCGGTTGTATCCTGCCTGCTTTGACTGTGTATGTATGTGGTCTTGCTGTCCAGGTATGGCCTTCGGTGCCGCCATGAAGACAGTGGTGTCCTCGTACAACGTCGAGGGCCGCAACAACTCACTCGACATGGCCCAGCAGGTCGACACCAGGGCACGAAAGACGGGGGGAACTTCTCAGTCGTGATACCTGTGGGGGCGCATGTGTGTTGGTGTACATCATCACCGAGCTGGTTGGTCGTCTGGGCGGCGGGATGCTGTCGGACATTCTCGAGGCGTACATCAGCCGCCTCCAGTTCATCGCCATCGTCACCGCATTCATGGGCATCGGACAGGAGGCACACCACAACATAACACAAGAGACGCACTTGAATGCATTCCATTGTCTCCATGGCTCACTCTCTTGTGTCCTGTGCCTGTTGTCAGATTGGCATCGTGATGTTGGACGGCAACTTCGTGTGGGGCGTGGTCATCTGCATTGGCTTCTCCTACGCGTCGACATACGCGGCCCTGCCAGCCTACGTCCGCAACACATTCGACGTCCGCCAGTTTGGCCTCGTCACTGCCATCGGATACTCGTGCATGATCCCCGGTGACCGATACATTTCCATGCTCTACACACACAGCCAATCCAATGTACTGTCGTGTGTACGTTCTGTGTATCCGTGTGTGTGTGTGTATAGGCAACTTCTTCTACACGAAGTTCACGGCAGCCCAGTTCGACAAGCACAAGGACCCCGCGGCCGAGTTCTGCATGGGAGACGACTGCAACAAGTCAGTGACAAGCGCACGCGCGCACACACACACACACACACACACACACACAGACCACAGACACACAGAGGCAGACAGGATATGGTGCTTGCTCTGTGTGTCCCAGGTTGTGGTGCTTGCTGGGTCCCATTTTGTCGGTGATTCCGGCGCTCTTCTGCCTGTACGTGTCCTTCACGGCGGAGCGCAAGCCCGCTCCTCCCGCCGTCGTGGAGGACAGGAAGAAGCACTTCAAACGCTCTTCCATCGCCGTGCCTGGTCAGTCAGCCAGTCAATCAATGTACACGCCACACACTCATGTCCAAACACGGGTGTGTGTGTATACGTGTGTATCTATGTACGTGTATCATTCAACCAGAGTTCCACCCGCACCCCGAGCAAGACGAGATCTTGGCCGAGGCCATGGCTGCCGACAACGAGGAAGAACCACTGCTCGCCACAAAGGCCTGACCGTAACCATCCTATTCATCATATTCAGCAACACACACGAGTGCAGAGACACAGACAGACAGAGAGACAGACCTACAGACAACGGAAGAATTCGGTGTTCCCCCAGCCGAGAGTGCGTGTAGTTTGGCGTGTGTCGTCTGGCTGGATGGCCGTCTGTTATCCTTTGCAATGGATGGGGAGTGAATGCGAGTGAGTGACAGCTTGCAAGTGGAATGCCTGAGAAAGTGCGAATGGAAGTGGTTTGTTTTTGGCGGCTAGCCGCCTGAATGGCTGTCGGTGACCGATGGATGGATTGACAGGGAAGACAATTGAAAGCACTGCTCCGCACTTGTTCCCCCTGCAAGCTTATACGCGAGCTTATGCCGGATCGCGGGCGTAGAGAAGGAGGAGAAGGAAAGTGTCGATTGAGGAGGAACATGGCGGTGGGCAGGCTCAACCGCGAGTTGCATCAGGTCAGCGCTGCAGTGGCGAGAGCAACGACTCTGGTGTAACGAGGTGAGGCCTGCCCTGTGTGTGCTGTCAGCTCGAGAAGGACCCTGTGCCGCACATAGTGGTGAAACCATCTCCTTCAAGCATGTTTGTCTGGCACTACGTGCTGTAAGATCCACACAGGACACATACATGAATGGCGGCAATGCTGATTGATCTGCTCTCCTCGTTTGGTTTGTCTGTGTGTGTCTGTGTGGCAGCCACGACTTGCCGAAGGATACGGCATACGCTGGCGGTGTCTACCATGGCAAGCTCGTACGATGCACACATACACAACACATGAGGCTGCACTGCACTCACTCGGGACGCGTGACTCCTGAACAGGTGTTCCCCCAGAATTACCCCTTCGCCCCCCCTGCAATCTACATGATCACCAACAATGGTATTGTCACATCGGTGGTGCACACACGGGATCGCAGACTGCCACAGAATGGCTCATGTTCATGTTTGTGTGGATGTGTGTCTGGTTGGCTGGCATGTATGGTTGGATGGTTGTTCATCTCTCTCTCAGGTCGCTTTCAGATCAACACAAAGCTGTGCCTTTCGATGTCCGATTTCCATCCTGTACGGCCTACCTGTGTAATGTCATGTGTGGATGTCCACGTCTGTCTACATCTGTATGTGTGCAGGAGAGTTGGAATCCGTCTTGGAGGATCGAGTCGATTCTCACGGGTCTGCTCAGCTTCATGACCGACCCCACAGAGCCGCGGACGACCGGCGGCCTTCTCTCCAGCTTTGCACACAGGAGGAAACTCGCACTCAAGTGAGTTAGGCTGTGCATGCGTGGATGGCGTCATTGATCATGAGCTGAGTGTGTGTTGCCTGTGTCCCTGTTGCTGGCTGGCTGCATTCAGGACGTTTGAGGAGAACAAGTCCAACAAGGTCAGAACACCTCGCGCACACACACGGACACATGCTGGCATCCACCATCCCGTGTGCTTTCGTGGTGTCGGTGCAGACGTTCGTCGAGCTCTTTCCGGAGTTTCTCGACGAATCGAAATGGGTAAGGAACGAATGACGCTGAGCCGACCGCACGGAACCCAACCACTGTCGTCTTGCCTTGTGTCAATCTATCCATCTTTCGATCAGGATAAGCGTGATGGGTTTTGCCTCAAGGGCCACCCGTCACCGTCCACTCCTAGCTGCCGTGAGGATGCCTGTGGGCCTGAGAGCCAGGAGGGCGACAAGTGGCTCCGGCGGCTCAACGCCAGGCAGCTGGCGTGTACCGTCCTGCTCTTGTCGCTATTCGTCACGTCTGTGGTCGTGGTGGTGTGCGGCAACGGGCGGGTGACGTGATCAACGCCCCCGTGGGGGATGGGGGTCGGGGCTACTACTCGCGACTCGCTGCTGCCTGCCTGGTGTCGACCTACCTCTGTAGAGTGTGTCCTGCATGTTCTGCGTACTTGTAAATGGGAGACGGTGAATCTCAGTGCTCGTGGTGACCTTCATTTTGATGTGTCGCGATGAATTAATACATCCATGTGTGTACGTTGTCGCATTCATTGAAGCTTCGCAACAAAAGTCAGCGGCGGTCATCCCCACCCAATAAACAAGATAGAAAGTGAGCTGAAATGACCCACCCATCCTATGCACAAACACGAAGACACGTCCAGCTTCGGATGTCCATAGTCATCTTTTAATCGCAATCATGCAGGCCAGGCGGGAAAGCCCGCTACTTTGAAACCACCCATAGTGATGTCTACAAAACAGCCACAAGAAGGCGTCACACCCACACTACACCTCAACTACACGGTCGATCGACTACAACACGGCCTGGATCAGCGCCAGCAGCACAAGTGTGGCAACGTATGCCAGCCGCCGAGACGTCCTCCTGGCTCTTCGCCACACCTCGGCGTATGACAGCTCCCTCTGTGTGATCATCAGGTACACGGGTGGGTCGAAAAGGAAGGGCAGCAGTCGGCTCAGCAACAGTCGCAAGAAGAAATCCCCTCTCCAGCGTATCTTGCGAAAGAGGGATGCAGTAGCTGAGAGTAGCTGCCAGCGATGCGCCAGATGAGCAATGGCAGCTGCATCGGGGCCCCTCATTCCGGTGTATAGCTGAAGGGCGTCAGACAGCTGGTCTGCGCCATCCATGCAGCGGCCAAGGATGGCCACATCCTCCAGAGCCGCATTCACGCCCTGACCCAAGTCAGGTGGGAAGGCATGAGCTGCATCTCCGACGAACGCCACTCGGCCCACATGCAGCTGATTCACATACTGGGGCGTCCCGTATCTGCCGACCTTCTTTCGAACAAATCGCTCTGCCTCGTCCATGCGGACCACTTCCCGCACGTTGCGCCATTGCGGTATCGACCGCTCGAGGTAGCGCAAGAGCTCCTCGCCGGACGCGAGAGAGAGAATGGGATGGTCGGGCGGCGTGTTCAGGTTGGCCACGCGGGTGTGCTTCTGTGTGGTGGGGAAGCATCCAAACGAGAACGACTCGTTCTTGGGGACGACGGGTGTGAAGACGACCTGGCATCTGGGGCTCATGTGCAGCCGGGTCGTCGTCTCCACAGGGGCGTCTGGCTGCCGTCTTCTGAAGAGGGCAGCGAGTCCGCGGCGCTGCGGCTTCTTGATAGTCGTGACCTCCACATCGAAGGAGGGCGGCAGGGCGAGCACCTTGTATCGCTTGGGGGAGCCCGCGAAATAGCTCTCGTTTGTGAGGCGAATCAGACGAAAGGCTGGGTCTGACTGCAACAAGACACTCACAGGGGAAATCATAGGTGGGAAGGCACCTCCCCTCCCCTGCCTGTTCCCCCGGCTCCTCACCTCCTGAATGCTTCGTGTGATCTGTGAGTTCATGCCGTCGGCCGCAATAACCAGCTGCGCATCGATTGTCCTGGGCGCCGCCTCTGATGCAATCTGATACCTCACACTCGCCGAAGTCTTGCTCAGGTCGACGTCGCACCCGATCACTTGCGCGTCAAAGACCATCTTGACGGCGTTCACGCCTGGGTACTTGGCCATCAGATCCTTATATAGCAGCCGCGTTAGGGTCTGTCGCTTCAGCAGCTCCGTGAGTGGAAAGTTGTCTGTCTTGTTGCCCCTGTCCCTGGCCTCCTTGGCCACCTTCTCAAGCGCATAGAAGCCCTTCTTGCCCTTGGTTTGCATCCAACTGCCGTCATAGCCATCAGGGCGGATGTTTGTCCTGTTAGCGAAGTGATTGTCGACACCTTCCTCCTCCAAGTCCAGGGTGAAGCCGATCTCGGCCAGTGCCGCAGACCCACGAGGGAAGAGAGCCATGGCGTAGGTCCTGTGGCACACACGTATGTATGCGTCATCTGACTGACCCAAAGCGTTTGACACGCTTCACAACGACCGCCTACCTGTCTGTGTCTTTGAGGTACTCATCTTCGCTCATCCGCTCCAGCACTGTGATGTTTGAGTAGCCCCGACGAGATAGCATCATTGCTGCAGCAAGGCCCGCTGGGCCGCCTCCCGCGATAACAACTGGCTGGACGCTGCCGGAGCGAGATGACAGCATCGCTGCAGCCTGGGTTGCGAAGAGCGTGACAAGCATCCCGAGTCAGCGGTGAGAGATGGATACACAGAGGGATGCAACTTGACCTTCAACACAGACCACAGGCGAGAAACGGAATCCACCCCTCTGGGCTCCCTTGACGCGAGACTGGGGGCGTGGGGGGGCCTGCATGAGACGAACTCTCCGAGGCCCCGTGCGTCCGAATCCTGGATCTGTCATGGCCTTACTGGCCATTGCAATGCTCATCTGTCTACTGTACCCCGTCGTTAACGCGCAACCAAATGAGGAGATCGCCCGCGAGGTCCTCTTCCAGGGGCCCTTCACAGTGGCAGTGGGCGAGTCTCTCTCCATCTTCATCCCCAAGCTGGACCCCTTCATCACGGCGTGGAACTTCTCAGACACCTCAGACAGAATCATCCTCGTAGATCCCGCCTACGATTGCCCGCCCTTCCGGCCGACTGTCCCTGCCTCTCTCTTTCTTCCACGCACATTCGAGGAGATGATGGAGATGGAGTGCACCTCGGTGGCCCATGGCGGCAGCGGGATCATGTGCGGACGAGTCGACGGGGCGAGCTATGTGTTTGGGGAGAGCGGGAGGGTCAAGATGTGCTGGTGTCCGTACAATGATCTGAGGCCGATGTGTTCGATGGTGAATTCGATGCCGTTGGTACGTGGCTTGCCATTTGCAGAGGGAAAATAAGCAAGGGCAACACATTTGTTTGTCGCAGGGGCCATTCCTTCTTACTCGCGCATTAGCTGCGAGGTCGGCAGCCCATGCTTAATCTCTGTGGAAGGTCAGGCATGCACACGTGCGCATTCACGCCCGAAGAAGATCATGTCCACCTCCTTGTGCAGGTACTTCACTGCCGTTCGACAGTTCGGTGATTCTCAAGGTGGCCACCAACCTTCAGACGGATTCGTCCACTCCCTGCGCCAGTAGACCGGCAGACGCTGGCATCGGTTCGCTGCCTGTCGCTGTGCCCAACGTCAGCCAGTCGGGCCTGCCTATTGCGGGAGGGACCAGCACTAACAGGACTTATGATTTAGGGACGCCACAGGGCGGCGGATTTATGACCTATGTCGTGTGCTGGAGTGCTCGAAATGATGTGTTGTGAATGCCACTGACTACCGGATTCCTGTGGGGCTGGTCTATGTCAAAGGTAGATAAGACGGCTGGATCTTTGTATGTATGCATAGTTTGATGTATGCAGGCGTGCCGAATCTTCGTTATGCTTGGGTGGGCTCGAATACCACACTGCTGCTGCAGAGTGGCGATATCACCATCGACTACAACCAGACAGACGCAGCGGTAAACACACGAGCCAGCTTGTCCGTGTGCCGACTTACCTCTCATGTCTCCTCAGTGCCCGCGCATGACCGACAGCGACCTGATTAGCATCGTGGAGGCATCCACAGGCTGTGGCGCAGCCGCGTCACACACATCCCACCCATCTGTCATCTACCCCGGCAGAGACACGGGGCTGCCGTGGAAGAGACGCCCGTCAAGTGAGGGCCTGCAGTCGCTGTATGACGGCCTGGAGTGGAGCGACTATGGTGCGGGCTCATATGTGGTGTGTCTCTGTCGAAGGGCCGTCAGGGGTGTCTGTGATGCCAACGATGGGACGCATTTCGACAGCTTGATGGCGCACCTCTTCGTAGGCGGTGAGGGAGTAGTGCAGTGCCATTGTTCAATGTAGTCGCGCGTCCGTATCCAACTGTGCCTCCCTGCTTTCAGGCCCGAAGGCCGGCAACTCGGTCAGATGCGGCAGTCAGGCTGGTCTAGATAGGTGCTTCATAGCGATTGAAGGCGATGACATTCGCCACAGCAAAGGAGGAATGATCAAGGTGGGAGAGCCCTTACCATCGATGTGATGTCTCTCTCGCATGGCTCTGCCACAACGTCCGTCCCCGCAGGCCTATCAGAACGACACTGTTTGCGCCGCCCCTCACACCCACACTCCTGCAGTTGGCATCCGCAGTGCTGCCCTGCTGCGGCACGAGAGGCCAGGCAACGCGACAGCTGTGCCGATGGTCGCCCCTGCAGGAGTGTATGGGTTTGACGCCCGTCTGGAGAACAAGAAACCTGAACCGGGCTCATATCGCTTATGCTGGTGCCCGCCCACTGAGCTGAGTCTGTCTGAGAGTGACTATCTCTTCGATGTGGGGGAGCTGACCCTGGGAGGTATGCATGAATCAATCGTCATGTATCTATCAGTATGTCATCGATGCATGTCGCCCATTCAGGCGTGTACGCCGATTTGAGTTTCTTTTGCCATCGTGAGAATAGCGACTGTGTCTTTCTGCTCAGAGGGTCGGCAAGCCACCAGGACAGACAAAAGAGAGGCATCTTGTGTGCTTACTGTATTGCTTGTTTAGGGAGGAGCTCTTGGACAGCAGCAGGGTCCAAGTGGTGCCCGAGACGAGCCGAGTGAGACAATAAGACAGCTTTCCAGTCAGTGACGAAGATTTGACTGGCTGATGTCTCGCTGTGCATAAGCACAGTGCGGCAGTGTGGATCCCAGCACCTGGCCGCCGCAGATCTCGGACCATTTCCCCGTCTATGCTTCACCGATCATCCACTCTAACGACAGCGACTACCAAGTGTTCTCCTTCTCAGCGATAGACACCTACAAGACGTTCGGAGGTGACTGCACTTATCTGCAAGCATGCTCAACCTGACTGACTGGCCGGCTTTGGTCTCAGGTCCGTGTTGGCAGCTGGATGAGACAACATGCATCTTTGGCAACTACGTGTATATGGGAGGCGCTTGCTCTTGGTGCACGAACATCTACTATCAGGGAAGGCTTGTGGACTTGTGCTCGTGGAGCTGCTTCGACTGGTCAGCTGGACGAGCGACGATGGCTGGCTCTAACATTAACACGGTGACTATGTTCATGGATGGCATCCTCTTTCACTCTTTGCAGCCCTGGTGGTGGGTGCTCTGGCGAAGAGCTGATTTTCAGGGATCTGTGCCCACTAGATGGCGACTGCGGTAAGGGAGACATGAATATGGAACACGGAAGGAACAGAGTGGAATTTCTCGCCCAGGTGGCGAGAACAAGGGAGGCGATTTTCGATTCAAAGTACGTAGGTCAGTCAAAAAGACGGCACAAAAGTGAGTTGGAGTTCGTGCCGTGAGACATGAGCTGTCGCACGGTGCAGGTGTGCTACTGCCAATCCACTTTCTACTCATGCAACGGCACGGCGCACTTCGACCAAGACGCTGGCACGATTCACGTAGCAGGTAACATAAAGACATCGTCTTCCGCTTCATTCTCTCAGTATCTGGCCTTGGTCCCCCCCCCTCCTTTCGCTGCTCTCATTCCTGGAACAGGTCCGGAGGGCAAGTACATCCGCGAGCAGCCGACATACATCTGCAACTGGGGATACAGCTGTGAAGTGGAGGTGGCAGGCTTCAATCTGCAGAAGACAGAGGCCCAAATCATCACGTTAGTGCCATCGGTAGTCGATGCGACTGGCGAGTTCCCCCCGTCGGTGGCACGCTTCGACTGCTCGGTCCCCTTCATTGATTCCGACCATGACGTCTTCCCGCGGGACAATCCCGTCGTTGTGAGAAGGAGACATGGCATGTACTGATGAATCGTTATTCATTGCTTCCTTTAAGTCCTTCAGGCCACATCTTCTAATCAGACACATGCAACGTTCTCCTTCAATCCGCCCCTCCAAGCCTCTGTCTTGGGCGTGTGCTACACCTATAACAATACGGTGATCCCGGCCCGGCTGCCTAATGGCTCAGCTGACCATGACGCACTGAGGCATCTGGATGAGACACGGCTGACGATCGGAAACTTCAAGACACACATCGAGCTGGGCCGACTCATATGCAGAGGTAGGTCCACAGAGATGCCCCGACGGGCGGAATTACCAAGTCGTGGCCTCCTTTCAGGCCCGTTTCACTGGCAGGTGCATGCATGTCGGGGCGGGGAGCCTTGTCGAATCCAAGTGACGGGCTACAGCATGAGAAGGACGGACCACGTGCGCTTGTGCGCTCACGGACAAGTCTGCGGCATTTGTGACCCACCGGCACTCGATGACTTCGATAATCCCCCAGAAGGGTCGCGGCTTGCCATTCCCGCCAAGCTTTTCGACAGCAGCGACCTGATCTATGATTGGTACAATAACACCTACCAGCTCGGAAGGGCCAAGACGCCGGGCGACTTCACCGTGAGGGATAAATTGCAACAGTACAATACTCAGCTGCGAATGAGGCACCCATTTGGGTTTGCTCTGTGTGCCCAGATTTGCTACTGCCCGCAACCGCCCCGACAGAACTATCTGGTCGAAGAACCTGGAAGGGGCTGCGAAAAGGCTCGTGACTTCCAGCAGATCGGGGGCACGGTGGTTGTCGGCGGCCCTGTGGGCGGCGAGTTCTTCGTGTGTGTTCGGCAGCGGGAGTGCCATATGGCTGTCAAAGGATACGCCATGGGAAACATTGACACCATCCAGGTGAGAAGAAAACTGTTGCGCATGCAAGAGATAGTCATCTAGGTGACAAGCTCGGTGAACCGATTGTCAATGTGTCGTGTCTTAGATAGTTGATCCTGCATATGCCTGTGGGGACTATCTGAACAAAACGGTGATCGGGTTGGCTCCTAATGAGACCATCAGGTCCGTGTCTCGCGACATGAAGGTCATCTACAGTAAGACAGACGAAGGGATGTTTTGGCTGGCTCACTTTCGCCTCGGCCGCAATGACACAATCATGAAGGAACCCTTCCTGAAAAAGGTAAGTCGCTTCAGTCTGCGTGTGTGTGTCACCTAAGGTTGTATTGTCTTGGGGCAAACAGGTATGTTACTGTTCCAGCGGCATCTCTTTTCCACTTGTGTCTGACCTCAACTCAGCCGAACCCCTTGACCCCGCCACACTTACCAATGCCAACTGCACTGACCCAAAGTCGATAGTCTTAGATGCGGGCGAATTTGTGCTACTAGCTCCGTATGAGCAACAGGTGAGAGGCATGCAAATGTGCAGGCTCTTCCTCACGTAGATGTATGCTTTCGTTCGCAGCTCTGGGAGTTTCGAATTGAGGAACTCTTTACGCTTCCCATTCGTGGCTCATTTCTGACCTCGACTGCCCGCATATACATCATCCCGGGGCCTCTCTTCTTGGTGGGGCCATCGGAAGAAATGTGTCATCCTGAGAACCTCACCGATCCCTCAGCGGCCGACATCGAGACACACCTCCGGGAGAAGGCGCAGCTGGTCAGAGACCATTGGTACCGCCGGAGCGCATCAGGAAGAGAAATGCCACTAGAGCAGCCTATTCTGGTCGACCAAGTGCAAGAGCCAACGACGGAGTTTTCGATTCAGATGATCAATCGGTTGCTCATCCGCCTCCCCGAAGACATGCAGATCACGACTTGGGGGCTTGGGGGCCCCTATACTTCGTATCGCGTATGTTGGATGCTTCCGTCACAGCCCACAGAGGTGGATGGACAGCAGGTGAATCATCCTTATAAGCATGATGCTGTGTCTCACAGGTGGTAGACATCGGTGTCGTGCGCGCTACTGGCAGCCAGAGGTGCGGGGATGGTATTGTGACGGGGCCGCACGAAGAATGCGACCAAGGCATGGTAGCCAGCAACGCCATCACACAAACTCGGACACCAATTGCTTGTCCTGCCGACTGTGTGCGTACAGATGCCTCCCCAAGATGGCGACGGGTGCTCGGCGCAGTGCACCATCGAGGACGGCTATCGTCTCGTGCACATCCCCAACCAGGGACCGGCCGCCTCGCCTCTCGTGAGCAAAGTGCAAATCCTTCCCCTTTGTGGAGATGGGAAGGTCAAAGGAGACGAAGAATGTACTCATCTACAGGACACACTCACGCACACGCATGTCACTCGACGGGACAAGAGTTAGTAAGCTTGTGATTATTCTTCCTGCAGGCGATGACGAGAATCAGCGAGCGGGCGATGGATGCTCACCGACGTGTCGCATCGAGCTCGGCTACACCTGCGACTCCTCGCAGCCATCCGTTTGTAGGACAGCGTGCGGCAACCTGCTGCTCACATCAACGGAGCAATGCGAAGGCCAGGATAGCTTTGGAGGTGACGGGTGCTCGCCGGCGTGTCGCGTTGAGCAGGGATGGAGTTGCACACTGAGGGAGGAGACCGTTGACATTTCTCATCTGGAAGAAAGAGAAGATGAAGAGACAGAAGTGGTCCCCACTGAGGCACCATTAGTCCCAATTCCGGGAGAAGGAAACCCGGGTGGTGACATCATTATCAATGAGACGGATCGTCGTCCATCGCCCAAGACGGGCATGATCGTCCCAGTGCACAAGTCTGACTGCGTTGTCGCCTGTGGAGGGTCGCCCTCCTACTACGAAAGCTTTGGCGCCTTCATCTGTGGCATTGTGGAGGCACCGCCCAGGACCACCCCTGTGCTGTGTTACTCGTGCAACGTGACGAATGTGCAGCCGCCTGTGTTGGGCTGTCGGGACTATGCAGAGAGGGAGAGTGGTGATGAATTGTGCTTCACGGTCCATCCGCCCAATTTCGAGGTCTAACAGTGGAACGGCGTATGTGCATGTGTGCTGGACAGACACGATTGTTGTCTGTATGTATGCAGAGGGTATCGTTTGACCCCAAGGGCACTTCGCTGACGGCAGTGCTTGCCCAGCCGGCAGAATTCGTGATAAGCTCAGTGCAAAAGGAGACACGCACGGTTCCATCATCGCAACTCTTCGAAGACGCTTCTGAGCTATTTGGCAAATCATCCACGTAAAATCATACACAGTCAACGCACCAACAAGCTGCTTCCCATCCGTTTCTTTCACCCATCGCGCTCTGCTCCCTCAGGTCCACATTGATCAGTGACCGACGTCTCAGAATCTCTTTCGATCAAGACGCCGCGGTCCTCCCTGGCATGTCCCTCACCCTAATAAGGCAAACACTTGTGACAGTCACGCCTCACGCGGTCAACTGGGACCCCGACGCAGCAAGAAGGGGTCCTTTGGCCGACAATGCCACAAGCAGTGGCTCGGGCCTGTCCAGCCTGGACACGTTTGCCATGCCCGAGAATGAAGAGCAGACAGTGCCTATGAGCCTTCCAGAGCCGCCAGAGAGATTCATCGCCACAGCTGCAAAGGTACATTGAGTACAAAAAGCGCTACTCTTGCAGACGTCCGTCTGCGTATTGCCTCAGGTGACATACCCTCAGTTCGTTGGCTGTGGTGGCCAAGTCATCTTTGACGCTTCAGCTAGCCGGGGGGCTGGCATTCGGTCCCTCAACTACACATGGACCATCGTCAGGTCCGAGAAAGACTACTTAAGTCCGTGGGACCCTCCAAGCACGGCCGACGATCCGCTGATGAGGAATCTGACGGCTGTTATACAGCGGATGTTGGACGAGTATAACGGGCGACAAGTGGCGTATCTGGCGATCGGGACAGCGATGAAGGAAGCTGGCATGAATACAAACCAAACAGAATCCGAAGTCAGGTGAGTGACTGGACGGAGTTGCAATGAAGAATGAGAAGTGTCACGTGCATGGGTCTCGGTCCTTGTTGGGTGTCTCTTGCACTGTTAGCCTCCTCTTCCTTCTGACAACGCATAGCTACCTGTCTCAACAGTCGGCGACTTTTTATTTCATGACCAGAACAAGAATGTTCCCGAAGTGTGCTGCTCACATTGAGCCGCTCCAGCCATCTGAGCAGACAATCGACCCCACAGAACCAGTCAGCCTGGCTGTTCGTGTACACGCCGTCCCCGAGACGCCTCCAGAAACGCCAATACAAGACATCTCATGCGATGATCAGCTGCATGTCAACGGGAGCAAGGTGGTGCTAGGCTGGGATCTGCACGTGCTGTCCTCTCTTGGAGGCCTCCCGGACATAGGTGATTTGTCCATGTTCGCCCTCAACGACGCTCAGACTGCCATTTCCATCCCGGGAAGCTCCCTTCCCGTCGGCGACTATCACATCACCTGCAAACCACGGTGAGAAGGACCTGATGGCTTCCATCCCTGGGGGCTTGTGATGTATCACATCACAGTGGCACCGAAAGTGCCGGTAGCAGTGCTTAAGGTGGCATCAGAAGCGGCCGTGGAGTGTCCTCTGCTGATGGATGGAAGTCAGTCGTTCTTGCCGCAGCAGGGTAATTCTACGCCCACTGTCAATGGGACCACAGCGGAACAGGACGGAGACGCGACACGAGTGCAGCTGTCGCCCGAGACATATGACTTTAGGTGATTGAAACAGAATCCAGCAGATGACGCCTCTACGCGCATGTGTCTCTGTGTTTCGCAGATGGCGCTGCTACGTCCTGGCGGTCTTGTCATCCGTCAATATCAGCAATCCTGTCGTACTTGCCCGCATAGTCGACTCCCTTGACGACATCAACCTGTACCCATGCCTGACGAACAGCAACACCACCTATGAGTCGGCTGAAGAGCTTCTCAACGCCCAGAACTCGCTTGAAGCGGTCGTTCCGGATCACATACTGCAGTTTCCGCAGTACGATGTCCCGATGCGCGTCCTGACACTCTTGTTCGAGCTGACAATCGTCCATCGCCAGTCAGGCATTGCGTCGGGCGCCGCATATGCAGGCAAGCGCATAATGACCTACCTGAATCACATGTCTCGCTTTGTATGCTTTTTTCTCTCTATTGCAGCCACCCGCCTCTACCAAGGTACACCTGTCAACTCGACAGCCATCCTTACAGCCTCTTCGGACAGCACCAAAGGACCCATACCGCCCTCTCCCTTCCGTGTCTGTCTCACGACTCTCTCGTCCTCCCTCTGCCAAGCAAGTATCACTAACGTGCCTCATCCTACTCTCACGACCTATTCGGCCAGCAACGGAACGCTCGTCCCGCTTCTTTCCGATGTGGAGACAAGGGAATCGACACTCACAGTGATGAACGAAGTGAGCGGCCTTGTAGATGAAAGGAAGTACACCATGAGGGTACTGGTGTGGCACATCGACGTCTTGCCTACGGGAGAATATGGATTGCGGCTGAAAGGGCTTGCGGGAGGAAGTGGACAGTTTGAAACAAGGGTGGATGGCATTCGGGTGAATGCGGGGCCAACTGAGGGACGGTTACTTGTTCGAGAGCATGTGGCATGGTCGAGTGGGCTGCAGACTGATTTCGATATCACAATGGATCAGGTGCGAGAGAGAAGCAAAATCGGACACATTCACACAGATTACTCTTCTATGTGCACAGATTCACGACCCTGATCTGCCTCTCTCCTACTCTTTCTACGCCACATCAAGCCTGCTCGCAGGACAGCTTCCACCAGGCCAGACACCTGCACTCCTCTCGGCGTGGGCAGGATCGAACCATCGCTTTGTTCCGATCCCATTCGATGCTTTCGATTTTGGTGTGCCTGTCGTTCCGGCGGGTGAGACGGCTCATGTGTGGGTGGTGGGGCAGGCGGCAGATGTCTTTGGGGAAAAGAGCGAATATGTCTTGTCCGAACAGGTGCGTGTGGTGTGGCACGTCGCCCGGGGGGAACTTATTGAGTGCTCCGTTGTCTGCAGGTCAATATCTCAGTCCCGGTGCTGAATGCCACTGAAGAGGGGATCAATGAACTGTTGACGTATCTTGCTCTGCTGCGCGAGACATCCATGTCATTCACGGACCTGAAGAACCGCTTGTGGATTTCCCTCCAGAGCTTGAGAGGTCAGACGCCTCCCATCACCTTTGAGGAGCACCCAGCGCTCGCAAGAGCATTTCTGGAGGCAATCAAACGACTCGAGGTCAGCCATAGAGGCGCAGGTTAGGCAATCGTACCTCTGTTGGTACCTCAGGATGTTTTCGTGCCTCGCGGTGGCAGCCCACCCGATCGGTACATCGCCTCAGGTGTCCAGACAGCGTCCCTAATCGAGGGCGATGACAGCGTGGCGCAGGAGGCGCTGCAGATTTCCACAATGATGGCGGCTGCCGTGGTGTCAGGGGCCTTCGTCTGCCAGGACGAGATCGATCTCAGCCTACAGGTGCGATCCGGAAGGGGGAAGGCGACAACAGAATGTGACACTGTGTCGCTTGCAGCTGTTTGACTACTGGCGACGAGTCTACTCTGGCTCTGGTAGTGTATCGTACACCAAGTCTGCAGCGACGCATGCGTCGCTCTTCGCCCACTCTGCGGGTCTCTACAACAGCACTCGCCGCAAGGAGCTGCATGAGATCATGGTCCGGGGCCTGCTCATGGGCCTGGGGGACGACCTGCGCGCCAAAAAGGAGGCGGCGACGAATGCACCGGCCACGAGACGCCTGCAGGGAGGCGACAGGATTCAAGGGATGACGGTGGGTCATTCGGTGCCATCGCAATACTGTCATGGTCTGGCACTTCTCTTTTCGTTCTACCAGATTGCTGGTCCTACAGTGACGCTGCTCGTGTCTCACGTCCCTGAGAACATCAGCCAGCTATGGGAGACGCCCCTCTCTTCTGAAGATGTGTGGTATCTCGCAGACTACCTCAATAAGAACCTTCCCTCCCTGCGTCTCTTCACAACCGCTGAGAAGCTTCCACCCAGACGCTTCCCGCTTCCCACACTCATAGACCGCGGCTTCCCATCTACCCCCCTGCCGCGCTACTTCCCCTTCTCTATTCAGTCGCCGTCACCTATTACTTATTGGGCCGACGGATTCCACATCAGTGTGCCGCTCGGCTCGCTCTTCACCAACGAGACAACACGTGTGTCCCCGCCCCCCGTCTACTCATCAGTGCAGAAGGCTAAGGTGACAGATGAACTGACGCTGCGGCCAGAGGCTGTGATGGATTTCGGTGGGGTGACGACTCTTTGGGGTATGGAGAATCCCTATGGGCAGCTTGTGGATCGAGAAGGTGTAGACTATCATGGGGCAGCGAAAGAAGGAAGCGTTACGAACAACAGTATGTTTGCTATCGGGGAGGGAGAGGCGCTGACTCCGATTGTTGAGATGGATCTCGCGATATTTCTGGATGATTACACTCCGTAAGCTGGAGGAGACATGCGCGTCATCGCTACGAGACATAATGAATGTCTCCTTTCTCTGTCTTCGCGTCATCCAGCACGACGCTCCAGGCTCCCATTACATACATGGCAATCTTTGTTGACCTTCCCTTCCGCGCCCACATCCTCCCCACACTGATCGCCATGCCATCGATCCTGAACTCGACCTTCATGGCCCCTTCTTCGACTTCGCTCAACCTGCCTCGTTGCAGAAGATGGCTGCCATCCAAAGGTCAGTGGGCAGCACTGGGCTGCCGAGTGCTGAGCGTAAGTGCGGCCGGGTACACTTATGGATGTCAACATGAGATAAGCCGGGGCGGAGCTGGGGGCTTCTGGGAGGTCATGGGGGTTGGCGAGGCCATACATCGCTATGAGACGTATTTCGTGGAGAGTTTGGTAGTCGAGACGATACTGAATCCGATGAACAATGGGTTCTTCATGCTGTTGGCCATCATTGCCACCATTGTCATGGGCCTGCTGCTCGTTATTACCAAGTAGGGAGTCCTCTGTGCACCGAAGGGCATTCATGTTTGTCGTCATCGGTGATGTAACAGAGACGGGGCATTTCAGGTCAGAAACACCGAGTTGGTCGACAAGTACTTCTTTCGAGCAGTGAGCATGACAAATGGCCTCTGCTTCCACACTGTCCCTATCACTGTCTGTTCTTCCAACAGGAGAGCGAGCCCCGAAGCTGCTGTGTCCATATATGGAGAAAAGCGCGCGCAGTTTATCCCATTCTGAAGCTCTTCAATCTCTGTAGCTGCGTCCGTCGGTCGTCTCTGCAGTATTTGCAGCTGTCAGCCAAGGAGGGCGCTGGCGAAGAGGAAAGCTGGTCGCTGAAGTCATTCGCGGGCATCCTTCACCGATTCAGCCCTGTCTCAATCCATGACGTACTGAGAGGAGGGGCAAAGAGAGAAATTCTGCCATGCCATTTCCACCTTATGTCCCTTCAGATCGTCGAAGGCCACTATGAGCGCACCGGTGAGACCCTTACGGCCCAGCAGGTGCTGAAGCTGTGTCTCGCAGTGGAGAAGACAGAGCAGGCGCTCCGCGAGTACCGCGCCAAGGTCATGCGGAGCCGTGACAGCAAAATATCCAGGCTGGCGCTGGACCTTCGCATCCTGAGGAAATTCGCTTTCTCATTCGGGACGTCCCTCTTCCTGTTGCTGAATAGGACAGAGGCCTTTACAGGTGAGAAGAGAAGAAGCCTGAAATGTGCACATCATGTCACGTTTCCCCCTTCGTTCTGTCCTTAGCAAATCTCTGGTCGCGCGTCATGCTTCTGGCCTACCTTCGCCGCGCCGAGCGCTCAGCCACCTACATCCAGGCATGCTACCTCTCCTACCGTGCTGGTCTCCTAGGGGTCACTGAGTCATTGCAAATGTTCCAATCTGTCCCGGCAACCCGCGGCAGCCCTGCCCCTGCAACGCGCGGCCTCGTGGCGCACTCGGGTCATGTTGGGACAGACAGGAGCGAGGACATTGAGTTTCCCACACACGGGCGGCTCCCCCTCTTGCGGCATGGTGTGCACGGCGCGCCCCCCCCCCCATCCCCACCGCAGTCTGAGCCGGACGAGCAAGCGGCTCCTTCAGTGACTGAAACTCAGAAGAGCAGCAGAAAAGACCTGGACAGACGCGAGACGGGAGTGACGATCGCCTTGGGAGACGCAGAGGAAGGACCTGGGGAGCTGCCGGGCGCTGCAGACATTAAGAAGCCGAGTGGCCGGCGAGGCTCAGTCATCGACCAACAGCGGCGGCTGTCGTCGGTCTCTCGGGGCTCTACCTTCAGGCGGGCGAGTGTGATGCTCAAGCAGCTAGCATCAATGGCTTCAAAGGGAAGCAAGCAGACGGAGGAAGTCAGCGAAAGGTCGGCTGCTTCGAGGGACGAAGATGAACACCTGATGGAGAGCTTGGTGGTTGACCTTTCTCCGCAACGAAGGGGCAGCGTCGCTGGAAGTAGAAGGCGCTCGTCAGTGTTGGCCAAGCAACCCACCGGAGAGTCCAAGGGGACGTCTATTGTCCCGGAAAAGCAAGAGACAGCTGTTTTTACTGATCTCACTTCTCATCGACCATTGCCGGAGGCGGATGGAGGGAAGGAGACAGCGGTGCCTCCAAGGGCCCGCCGGGGCTCCATGGTTGGGCTATCCAGCCCCACACAGCCTTGTCTGGGCACAGCAGAATCGTCTGAAGCAGAATCGGGGCATGAAGGAGAGGAAGGGGGAGAGGAAGCGCGGGAGGAGAGCAAGGAAGAAGACAGGGAGACAGAAGAAGTCGTGACAGTCATCACGGATACAGAGGCGCGCAAGTTCTTCGACGACGGCGTTGATATTGGGACACATGCACCACCAATGCCTTCCTTCGGCCCGGCTGAGAAAGAGGACCGCATTGCATCCCGGAGACGGGCTGACTTTCTTCTTGGAGACACGCTGAAGGCGATGGGCGCCGCAGCCCCTCAGAAGTCCAAGCAGGAGGCATTGGTCAAGTTCCAGCGTCGCCTATTCCTGCGCGAACAAGCCCAACTCCAGCGGCTGCTCCCGTCCGTGGACAGCGCCGTGTTCTCGGCCTCCGACTCAGTCTGGGAAGCCAACCGGATGACCAACAGAGACGAGCCATGGCTGTCCAAGATGGCTGCCGTCCACGCACACCACATCGTGCGAGGAGAAACAGACGAGACCGCCCGGCTGGGATTGACGGAAGAGACCATTAAAGCCATTCGTCGCTTCGTGGAGGAGGAAAAGACGCTGCCTGCTGCCCTCAAGGCTGCGTCAGGGAGGACTGGTGGGGGTGCCGATGATGAGGGCGAGGTTGGTGAGATTGAAGCTGGTGAGAAGGAGGCTGGGAGCTTAGACATGGACGGTTGGGTGGCAGCGACCATGCAAGATGACGGGACAGAAGAGTAAGGCAGCAGCAACGGGCAGAGAGTGCTTGCTTCATCCGACGATTGTGTTTTCTGTTGCATTGACCAGCTTCCAGCGATGTCTGCTGTCTCTTCGGTCCATTGGCCTGGTCATCGAAGTGCCCGTCTCAGGCAAGAACGCCGTCCCGCCTCCCAGACACGAACAGCGGCCCAAGGCAAAGAGAGCGTCCAAGCCACCATCCGAAGACGTCAAGCCTTACGCCAGCGGGACACGCCCACTGATCGCTATCAGTGGCCTGGCGGACTTGTTCCATACGCGACAGCCAAGTGGCGTGAGTCACAAGTCAAGGCGGGCATCCGCAGACGAACAAGAGACACAGTCGATGTCAGACCGGGATGAAAGCGAGGAGGGACGAGAGAGAGTGCTCGAGGGCTTTGAGGAGTTCGATGAGGACAATGGCCCGAAACCGTCACCCGTCCGCCAGCAAATGGCTGTAGCAATGCAGTCACAGCTTCTGGTAGTGGGCTACATCCGCTGGAGTGATATAGTGGAGGCCGAGGTGATTGAGGAGAGCGACATAGCAGTGGACCTGCAGGCGCCGATCCTCCGGCTGCCTGCACACATCATCCTGGACGTGCACTATAAGACCGAGAGGATGCGTGTGATGAACCAGTGGAATGACCCGCCTCTTGCGCGGAACATTCGTGAGTCGGCAGAACAGAAGCGCACAAGGCTCTTACGAGTCGGGGAAGAGGAGATGGAGGCAGACGCGGGAGTTGTCGAGACGGAGGCCTTCGGCTGCCAGACGGTTCGATTCTGTATCAGTGACCTTGACGCAGCACAAAGATTTGGTAAGACCAATCGATTTGCCTTCCTTCGCTCTCATCATTGCTCTGTCCATCTCACACCTTGCCTACTGTCCAGTGGCCGACCTGCATGAAGAGCGCAACCTCCGGTGTTTTCTCTCTCGTCGCGGCTACCTCACCCATTCCCTGGCCACATCGCTTAAGGCACGCCCTCGGGTGCAGATGCTCAAGACACTCAGGCAGCTTGTAGGTGCCGAGCAGATGGCTGGACGAGCGTCGGCGAAGCAGCCGTCAATGCGAACGGGGGTGACCATTGAGACGGATAATGTGACGGTGGCCAAGAAGGACGCCAAGCAGCAGTTTTTCGTGGAGATGAAGAAAATGGAGCTCAATCGGCTCATTTGCCGATTCAGGTAGGTGTCCGGCTGGAAGGCAGACACTGTGCAATGTATGTGTCTCATCTTCGTGTCTGTCTTTTGTCTCGGTGGTTCCCAGGGTGTTGGGTCTGCACTCTTTCTGGCTGTTTTGCAGTGTCGTCTGCAAGCATCACCCATGGGGCCAGTGCTTCATCCCCTCGCTGCAGGCCCCACACGTGCTGCACGATCTGCTCCTGGTGTTCAAGTTCCTCCTAACTCTCGACATCGGGCTGTTTGTCGAGGTGTACAAGGGAACTCTGGGGGAAAGCCTTGCCTTCTTGACGGAAGACGCAGGTAAGGAGGGTAGCGCACGACTTGATGGATATATATATGCATGCTCATGTCTCGCTGTCGTGTCTCGCAGGTGTCTTGTGGGGCTTCCGTGTTACTATGTCAGACCTGTGCTTCCTCCTCGTGGCGTCGATGATCGCGGAAGTTCTTAAGCTGTTTGTCAAGTGGTGGGCAGTCAAAGTGCCAACATACGCGCCTGACGCAGACACAGACGAAAAGCTCAAGGTGAGAAAAGACGAGAAGAAACAACCGCGGAGCACAGACATGGACATACGTGCACGTGTCTCCCCTGTAGGACTCCGTCCATCGCGCGTGGATGTGTCGGGACCGTGTCATCCGTATCTTGTGGATATGCTTCCTGATCACTTCACTGGCCTTCCTTGCCTTCTTCCTTCAATTCTCCGCCAACCCGTCGGCCGCCGACAGGTGGTTCCGCTTTGTGCTGTCGCTGCTCGTCCTCGAGACGGTGATTCCTTTGGTGTGGATGTTGGTTGTGTGGTGGCTGCTGATAGAGGCGAGGAACAGCACACGAGTGGACTGGGTGCTCAAGAGGCTGCCCCATCTGTTGATATATGTGCATATGTATGAGAACAACCCGAGCGAGATTGCGAGGGACTTGAGGGACGTGGAGGAACGTGAGGCCTTCTGGTGACCAACTCTGTCTGTGTATGTGTATGTGTATGTGTATGTGTGTTCTCTCGCTGATTTGTGACGCAACAGTTAAGTCACTGGTCAAGGTTTCGCCCTCAGTATTCACACACAGACATACTTGATGGAAACCAAGATACAGATATAAAATGCAGGCAACGATTGCCCTTCTTTTTCTTCAACCTATTTCCCTCCCAGAGAGAGAGAGGCAGCCCGGCCCGCCCACCACACCGCCACAAATCACACCATCACACCCTATCAAGTGGGTGGATGTCACTCACTCACGCCCCTTGCTACGATCGATGATCCTTTGATCCACCTCTAGGTGCTAAGTCCGCCTCTCTCTCACACCGCAGCGACACACCGGCCTACCAGCCTCATGTGTGTGACCGGCACATCACACACATGACGCCACACGGCAGGCTGGTGGTCGTGCCGACAACACAACCAACCGACCAACACAACCAACTACCTACTCATCGACAACTCCAACCTTTCTCAGTGGTACCCCATGTTTCTCAGTGGTACCCCATGTTCGCCTCCACCTCCCTCACCGTGTCTGACAGCCTCAGCCGCCCCAGCTCACACCGCCGATGGGTATGGCACACCTCAATGGCGTGCTCGATGAGGTCATCGTCCGGCGGCAGCGGGTGTTGCTGGAGCAGCCGGGCCAGCACGTGGTTCAGCTGGTTGTTGCTGAAGTCCAGGGGGTAGGCCGGCACTGTCAATGGGGCTGGGGAGGGGGATGTGGCGGCGGAGGCCGAACAGGAAGCACTGCAGCCCTATGCAGAGACGGGGGTGCGTGAACAGGTAGGCCACATCGACCACCTGCTGGTTGTGCTGCCCCGGGTGCTCGCAGGCGTTGATGATCTGGTGCATCAGCTGCCAGTACCCAGCCACAGCCGTCGAGTTGCGCTCTGTTAAAGCATGCACGCACATCATCTCTGAGTGCATCCTCCCTCTGAGACTTGCTGATGGCGTTGTCGAGATAAGAGACCATCAGGTCGTTGCGTAGAGGCCAAAACTCCTCGGCTTTCTTGTGGCGGGCCAGCTGCTGGCGTGTTTGGGCGCTGGGCTGCCGTGGGTAGGCCGCCACAGCACCCGGTGCAGCACGCACCCCGTTCTGCGCTATCTGGCTCAGCTGCCAGTGCATGCCTGATTGGTACACACAACATACACAGCGCACACAAAATACAAACAGACACCAGTGCCTTGTCCTTTGTGTGTGTACCTTATCGCTTCGGTATGAGCACATTCGGGCCGCCCACCATGCCCACCCACCAGCGACCCGCAGCGAAGTACAGGTCCATGCTGCATCTCGTTTGAGACACCAAACTTACACATATAAAACGTAGGCAGCGAGTGCTGTTCTCCACCGTCTGTGGGCCGCCCAAGCTGCAAACCGATTTGAAGAGACACATATCATCGTGCTGTAGCTGTGTGTGCTGGTCCATCACACTCACCTCGACACGCTCGTCGGATGTCGTCGAGAAGTTTCCGGGCCTCGAAGTCAGCCCGTATATGGACCAAATCGACGCATCCTCTACCGACTCACAGGGGTGGAAGAACACTCTCTTGAGGGCCTTCAGCGAACGGGTGACCTCGCGACCCTTGGGCCGCTGTTTCTTGAACGAAGGCGTCCTCATGCTCTACTTGTATCAATCCTCCTTCCCTCATGTGTGCTGACCAATTTGAAAGAACGACTCCTAGGTCCCTTCACGGCAGCTGCACCAATAGTGCCTCACTCATGGCCATCTTCATCACCTCCTTCAGCCCAGCCCCATCTTTAGTTCCGGACAGGGGCTTGCAGGCAGGCGGCGAATGTGAGCGCATCGAACAAACAGCGACACGCTCTCTGGGGTCTGGTGCGGGGTTGTCAAGGGCAGGGAAGCGTCCCGTGACGGTCGAGCGCCTCTACGAAGAGCTTCAGCCTGTCCAGGATGCGTGCAGTCGATCTGGAAACATATATATATATATACCATATGTAGATAAGTGTCATGTCGTGTTGCACTTGCCCGGATGATCTTGAACAGCTGGTCTGGGGGTGGGTGCCCGCAGCGCGAGATTATCACTGATACTTGCACAGCGACATCGATGTAGTCCACGAGCCGATGGATATAAAACGCAGACAGCGATCGTGACCACGTACAGACGGACCCGCAGCTCGGGGCAGGGCTGCGGGTCCCATATCGTCACCAACTCCCGTATGAATATCCACCTGCAGACAGACAGGAAGGGGAGACACACCAGACACACCCATCATGCCATGCATTCACACACGTATGGATGTGTGGAGGCATCTGCTCACTCGTAGTTGTAGTCGGCGCATGTGTGGATGACGTCACCCGTGAAGTTAAGATAGTCTATGATATGCGGCAGGTAGTAGTCCAGTCGGAGGGTCTGCAGGGACCAAGAGACACAACAAACACATCCATTACGCGTCGATGGCTGCACGTACTCGTCTG